CGTATCAGTTTTTTAAGGCAGATACGATGCAACCTCTTATTTTCGTGACTTCTGTAAGAGTATAGATGGGTCGTACTTGCAGCGTTGTTCACTATTGCGATTTGGATGGATCGAGTGAACCGTGCCCTTCAGCCAAAGACAATTGCACGAATACAGAGGAGTATGTTAGTTATGTTCGCGGCATTACTCACATCCCGGAGGTATGGAGTCAATTCCTGGTGTCTTTCGTCCGCCCCGGAGACTCCTTGAAATAAACAATTTTGGAATTGTGAAACGTCCAGTAATACTAGTCGCTCGTGTAATGGTAGGAACCGTCACAAAGACGCGACGCCGTGAACATGTTGCGATCATTCGCGACCAAACGAAGTTGCTCACCACCAACGGTTTCCTCATTTTTCGAAGGTACTTTTACGAGAACAACGTGGACATCAGTATCCCGAACCACATCTTCGGGGACAACGTCAACCTGGAGACGTTGTTCCTCAACGATAACAATTGTGGATTCCTCCACCGGGAGCTCTTCTCTGGGATGTCCAAGCTGGAAGTCCTGTAAGTTGTTGTTGTTGTTGATGTTGTTGTTGTTGTCTTCACATTAAAAAACCGATCCGTTCCCTCTGCTCAGTACCTTCTTCTGTCCGTCTTGACGCGGTCGATTCCCGTGGTCACAGGCAAGTGTTCCATTCATTTTGGCGGTACCATTATGTGCCCAGCGATTCCTATTGAATGCTGCCACGGTTAGGGTTAATTTGTGGGCTATTCTTGGTTTGGAGGAGAGGTACACGATGAACCTTGTCGACCATGCGGCCATAGCGTATGTGGCGTTTCGGGTCACGCTCTTTATAACCTGTTTCAATATCTCGACTCAAGTTTTCTGTTTTACACGGAACTTTCAACAACTGATTTACCGCTGGAACTGTCCCCTATGGCGCGGTTTCCCACAATGCTGTCCGTGAACTAAACGACACGCGTTTGGACGACAACGAGCTGACGTTTCTTTCGGATATCATCTTCCGACGACCTGGAGCAGCTCACACAACCGTGAGAATGAAAGCGTGTCTGATTATCTATGCGTACCAGATGAGTTCGATATCGAAACTGTAAATGTAGTCGACACTAAATAATGGTTCATATCTATAGTCCACATCGTTGAGTATGTCCCCACTTCCACCGCCGATATCCTCTTCTTATGACAGCAACGTTAATCCGCTGAAAGGTAGGTAAACCCAGGTTGAATTCCAACCGTCTAGAAACCTGTTCGATTCAAAATACGGACGTCCATGAAAGTTGGCCCATTCTTCGGAATGCTGCAACCAGGGATATTCGGGTTGCTCTTGCCTGTAGTCAGCATTTCAGCTCGATAAATGGTCAAATGCCGAATTCATTCGATAGTCTGACCTCCGCCTAGCGTTTTGAAGTATCTGGGCAGTTGTGGCAAGAATACGATTCCATTGAATCCCAGGATTCGTATATTCGTTAGCGAGACACCTCCCCCATCGGTGACGTGCGTGTGAATATAAATCAGCATTGGCATACGCGGTACCTGATGAGGGGCACGGGGGGGTGATTTGAGAGTCAGCTGCTTCTTCTGTTTGGTATGCGGCACTCGTTCGGGAAGGCGTAATAGCCTCGGTTCTCGATGCCCGTGAACAAAGTTCGGTTGTGGCGACAAAGGTGTCCACAGCCTTCAACGTGCGTGAAATGGGCCAATGTTTAAAGGTGTGCACCGGCAGTTCGTCAAGACGCAGCTGTGGTGTCAGTTTCTGTCTTTGAATGCCCTTGGTGCGGCTTGCCCTTTTCGTCACGAGTTGCTGGTCGCCCTCCGCCAATCTTTCATCACATCCGATGCCCTTGTTCCTGTGCAGAGATTTGTCTGGAAACCCTGAGTTGGACTGCATCCCGCCCATGTGCGTCATGTCGATAAACAATGACATCCCGCTGGTGCGCGCGAGGGTTCACAACATGACAACACCGGTGCACACAAGCCCATATTTCACATCTGAAAGCTGACGGTGGGCGCAGGTGTCAATCCATAGAGAGTACACGTACATATGGTATCACAATACTATATCGTCGAAATTCGATGATACTTTATTCTTGCAACGCTCTCTGGTGGGCGCTTTGTAGGCAGACTGTAGACTATTGCGTTGTCGCAGAAGTCGACAACGCTTTCTGGTTCATGCGGCAGGGATGCGGATGAAATCTACGAGCCCTGACCCCTGGGTCGTGCTGGCACATGAGATATTTACCCTTTCATGAGGGTCGGCATTTGCCCCTGTCTCGTTTCAGTTCGGCTTGGTGTTGATAGACTTGACACCTGACAGGCCAACCATAAGACCTCAGATACGCCCGTTCTAATCCGATCTTGCGGGAACGCAGGCACTCTACATTCTAAATTGTCGAGATGGCATCGTTAGCTGTTTTAGCCGGTGTGTAAGGTAGAACGCCACCTCTGCACCCCATGGTCAACGTCGCTTCAATTGATACATACACCAAGGGCACGAGCGTACAAAGTCTCCCCGCACACCTAATGTAGGCACACACACCCTCCCCCTGGGAGGGCCGAAAAACGATTATCGTTTTCGCACCTATTTTGGGGCTTAGAGCACAATTCCCGCAAGCCGCTTGTGGGAGACACATCGTGGGCTACTAGGGACGACGTTTCACGCTAGGTCGAGCAGGTTATAAGTGAGGCACTCGCTTTGTGATTTGAAGACTCTAGCTCGCGCAGAGGGTACCCGGTCCGTAACAGGGTCCACCCCCGCGGAGCCCCTATGCTGTATATAGGAGTAAGACAAGGTTTAGGCGCAAATGCATCGAGATCGGGCCTTTTTGTTTCGTGCGTGAGAAGGCCTGCCACCGACACAGCGAAGGTAAACGCAAGAGGCACCAATCAAGCTGAAACTTGCTGACGGCGTCTAAAGTGGTGCAGGACAGCCGATGATCTGATTCCTCGCGCCCCGGGCATGCGGGTCAAAAATGTGCGTTTATTCATTCGTTCATCGTTCTGTGAGACCTCTAGAGCCCGTATCGGTCTCTCAGAGGAAAGCTCTTGAATGACACCTGACAAGCCTTTGGAAACCAAGGAAAGTAAAACTGAGACATGTGCGCGTCCCAGTTCCGGTTGGGACAGTCACTCCTGACGTGTCGATACCCATTACCATGCTGTCTTCGTTGATTTCAGCGCTGCGGACGAGGTTATGTCGGACTCGGGAATTTCTGAATGTTCGTGCGCCATAGGTGAGCAGGGTTTCTTATGAAGAACCTTCTACGAAGGCATCGCCCGAATTAGGAGTCAAACATCCATCGTTCATCCCTCTACCTGTATATTCGATACTTGCTGTCAGACGACGTTCCCCGGAATGATGTATAAAGGTGTACTAGAGTAGGGGGCACAAGCACCTTGTAACGAGATGTTTCGAGATGAGACCGAAACGGCCCACGTCCACATTTGGTGATGGTGTATCAGCGTGTTCTTGTTTGTATTGTTTGGTATTTAAAGTGATAGGTCTTATTTCTATAGTGCAGTTCGTCGTCTTGCGGGGCCAGCGAGTTGAGGTTGAAACCACCTGTAAGCTTGCTTTGGTGGACTCGACATGTTGTTTGGTCGACATGTTCTACGGGGTTTCTGGCTTTTTTGGGTATGCGTGACTTTGAGACTGCGGGGTCCCGTCCCTGGTGCTTTGGGCTGCCTCTGATCGTCACCCTTCGCTTCCGGGCGAGTCAAACCTGTGTCTTGCCTAGTTGGATTAAAAATTGGAGTCTATGGTGTAGTGATGAATTGTGGGGGAAACACGACGACCGATCGCAGATAGATAAGCATATTGATACGATCCGTGGGGTATATGAAGCAGGTGACGGAGAAGCGGGATTGGACAATGTGTAGGTGTATTCGGTATTCGGAGTATCTTGGGGTAGGTTCTTGATTCAGTCGTGTTTTACCATATGACTGAATGCAACTGGATCGCGGTTGCGCATGGAACTCGGTACTCCATAATCTATGAAGCCACGTTCAGTCGCGATTTTCCTGCAGAAACTGGACAATTCGCACTTTGGAGGTTTTGAGAGTTGGTTTGGATGTTAGTCCTGCGTTGAGAAACGTTCTTTCGAAGTGCGTTTCTGGCCTCATTCGTGGAAGAAATGGGTTGAAAGAGCGTTGTTTGAAATGCAGGAAGACAAAAAGCTCGTGGAGGAGGGGGGATTTTGGAGTTTCAGGCGAAAGCTGCATGAGGTACGAATGTTTCCCGGAGTTGGATGTCATGTTTCGTGTTTGGTAAATAAGGTATGCAACTGTTGACGTGTATATTCGCGTTTTACCGATATAGCGGAGGGGCGATCGATAGCTCGGAACATGTGGCAGGAAGTGTCCAATACATTTGGTATTGTTTTCTTAGGATTGGAGGAGAAGGTTCCGGCAGGGGGGGCTGTAACGACGGCACTAGGACGTATTTGTGTGCGAGGTTTGTCCCACGTTGGTTTTACCTTCATTTTTTCGGGATACTCCCTACGTATGGTAGTACAGCCATCACATTTTTCCGGTGGCATTGGATATGAATGGGTTGGATGTGTTTTTCCGAGAAGGAAAGAAATTGGCGTATTCTGATAATGGCATGGTTGAAACGTATTCGACCTTGGCGTATTCCAATTAAGGCATGGTTGAAACGTACTCGCCCTAACCCTAACCGATGCTTGAGCTTGGGTTGAATACGTCATTGATATCGACAACAATAGATTGGCTCCCCCCCTCTTTGGTCATCATGCGCGAGCACAACGGACGAATCATACCAGCTCTTTCGTTGAAAACCCAAAACTTCATGCACAGTCTACCCCGCATCACCACGCGAGGGACGTACGATAGCGCGGCAACGTAAATTGCGAGGGGAAACCGACCTTGACACCCCCAGCTGTACTACAGCTGATCCTCTGGCTTTTTCGGCGCCATCGTACTAAGCGGTAGTCACATGACAGAGACCTCAAAACAACAAATTCAGCTGAGCAGTGAACGGTCCAACCCACCATCATGCTCTTCCTCATCTATTCTATTTTTCCGCGGATACGATGCCAGGTTCCCTGCTACAAGCTAACCCCCGCTAGAATCTGCGTCTGCAGCTCCGGCTGCATGGTGAAAGTTGAGTATTTCGTTTTCTCTGCCACTGCTCCGTGATTTACCAAATGTCATTGATGATCTGCACCCACCACATCTAAGCGGATGGTCCATGTTGGTCATCAAGCTGAAGAGGCATGCCGTGTGCGCCGTGGGAGCTTTGCACCGGCATCGCCACGAAACAACGCCGAACATGTCAGTGTCGATGCTCTCCAGTAGATGTCCAGAAGTGGCTCGTGACAGATTCCACGAACCGTTTCTTGGAGTTTCTCGACGAACCCGGTGACCTGTTGTGCAGACCGGGTGTGGTTTCCGTAACAAAGGAAAAGCACGGACCGGCGGAAAGATAACGAAATGTTGGATCCTGGTTCAGGTTGAGGTCCTTAATGTATGTCGCTTCCACAGGTGAGTTGAGAACAGACTCTGGAACTCTTCGTGTTGATTGATTCAGACTTCGGGATGCTAAGGAAACGGTCAGTTGTCTCCCCGTTCAAGTCAATGCTCATGAGCTGCGTAATGTATGTCGGTCGGAATGTAACGTTAGAGGAGGAATTACTGCTGCGTAGTTCGTATCGTCGTTCTGTGATCGACTTCACTCTTTGCGATCTCTCTGTGAACCCAGGGTCGGTCTGGGTACCTCTCTAAATTTGCCATCCCTAGCATACCATCACCACCGTCCTACCTGGACCAATGTCCTGTGGACCACCTGCGTATCTGTGTGAATCTGTGTTGGTCACCTAAGCGCCGTAATTACAACATTGCATCATCTTCTTCTCCACTGAGTACTTCTGCCGCTACAAGCTCTATGAGCTATCTCATCGACTTGCGTCGGTGGACGTCAGCTTCTGCTGCTACGTGCTCTGGGATACACACGATAACTCCAATATTTCGGAAATGTTTGGGTTGGGCTTCGAATGCGGAGAACCATCTTGCCTTGACTTGCTTTTCGTCGTCTGCGGCACTCCCGCTCTCGTCCTTAAGGCGGAGCAGTCGATGAACGTATTTCTGGAGAGCATCCGAGAAAATGAACGGGGCAGCAAAGGGTCGGCAGAACACCAAGGGGTGCTTCAATCACGCATGCGGTTTATATTCCAACGGCCCTTCGTACGGCTCCAGGCTGAAACATCTACCGCTTGGCAGCTTCCTGGCGCCTGAAGAGGAAAAACAGCAAGAAGACTACACACTAGTACTGCACACGGCTCAAACACAGAGAACACCGGCTTCGTTTTGTCCACCTTTGGCGCATTGAGACAATTCACCAGGTCGACATTTCTTTCCAGCATGTGTCACACGACCTCAAGGGAGGGTGGCAGCTCTGCCGAATTGTGGCAGGAGCTAATGCGCCTGAAAACTCAAACGGTAGTGGCATCAACACGTATCGTACAGTGTTGATATATGTGCCGTCCGCGCTCCGTGACGAGGACGGGGAACACGCTGAAAGACTCACGTGAACGCGTACCAGCAGCAACCCTTCGCGTTTTCCAACAACTGTCTTCCCGCATCTTAACGCTACTTCCCCACATAAAGCGGTTACATGCAACCAACAACAGGAGGTTATTACCACGTGCTCGCGGTCTCATTGTTCTCTCTCTCTCTCTCTCTCTCTCTCTCTCTCTCCTAAAACTCTCTGTACCTTTCCAAGATATCGGCGAGATCCGACCTCCGCTGACCTTCATCCGCTGGCACCAGAACCTCCGAAGCTGTCTCCCAGCAAGGGTGACTTAAGACGTATGGAACGCGCAAGAGAGACCACAGCAGATCCTGCAGTGCCTGGTGCACAGTTTCGCCCCTGCAAACCAACGGTGAGCGAGGACGACACACTGGGTGCCAAAGGGAGGAAGATCATGTGACATTCATCGAACCTCACCCCAAACGATTGGATGTGGTATGTAAATTGGGAGAGAAGCTCTAGAATCGGGGATGGGGGTATGGATGCGTTATGCTCGTTTCGTACGGACTTCATCTTCGAAGGGGCCGTGTACGTTCCACGCTCCGTTTTCACATTCCATCACACGCTGGTGCAACAGATGCATGAAGCTTCGAACCATTGGTGAGTTTTCGAAGTACTACAGTCTCGAAACGCCCACGGCCTTAGTCGATCTCAGAGCTGTGGCAATTACTGGTGAGAGGCAACCAATTATGTCTACCCTAGCAAGCACGGTGCTTGGTCTGACTACTTGTCGCGAAAAATGACCATGCTCGCTCGCGAGGTGGGGTCACACCTTGTGATACAGGTGTAGTCGTCTGTACACCCGTCCATGCACCCGAGACGTTCCAGAAACTCGAGCACCTCCTCATGCCCCCCCCCACCCAACTGTTCCACCAGGTCCCTGCCGCATTCTCCCAAAAAGGTGCAACTTCAGCTCGTCTTTCATATTCATTGTCAGTTCCGCAAGCACCTGGTTCAAGGCAAACTGAGCACCAAAAGGTTGCGAAGTGGCGCTTGACTATTTGGAAGAGCAAAGTTGAGCGTCAACAGCAGGGCCTCGTGGTATCCACGCCTGAGCGAGATGCTCAGCACAGCCTACAACAGAAGCCAATTTCGGCGCAATAGACCGGCTATTAGTTGCTTTTGATGTTGTGTGCCGGGGGCTTGATCTTAGGGCTACTGAGAACGTCAAACGTGACAGGAGGCCACGACACGTGGGCGTAAGAGTGCTTCCACAATACGGTGGTGTACATGACTCCGAGTCGTACATCGCTCGAATGGACGATTTTCACTGCGTTCGTGCGAGGCGGGCACTGCGGCTGATCGTACCTTCAACTCAGGCTCCTGCTGGACACATGTGCTCCAAATGAAGTCCAGGCGCTCGGTTGTAAGGGTGTCGCCTATCCTATCCATCAAGTTTAGAATATGTGATGATCCGTCTACTACCTCCTGGTAGATCTTGTCCCTGAAGATCTCATTGGAAACCTGCAAGCACCACGATAACTACATTTTTCAGGTCCGAAACGTCCACAGCACACGACAACTACTTGCGTCTCTGACCAGAGAGCTCTTCTATTCTACCATTTATTTTTCCACGTTAGTCTCGCTTCAAGATGAGTTCACTTGATCTTGAATACCCTCGAACCGAACGCAGCCGCCCAAGTCCTCAAACTGACGGACGGCCGAAGGTCCTGGTGCTCTAGGTTTAGCAAGGTGAATTTCGTGATACGTTGTTCTTCGGACCTTCCGGTACAAAGGAACGCACGCGAAGGCTACACTTCGGAACCCTTTCGCACGTCGTTGTCGCCCAACCACTGGCGAGCTTCCACTCAAGGGTCTCGTATTCCTGGCCTGGAGGGCAAAAGGTACCCCTCACAGGAGAGCGGTGTCACCGTCGGGGGCGGACCAAGGCCTTCTTTCTGCCCAGAAAACAGACGAAACGTGGAAAAACACCCGAAAACATGGCTGACACTTTGGCATTCATGTAAGGGATACCCTGAACACATGGGTCAACTTCGGCTTGACTGTGAGCACAGTCGTTCGCGTGTTCATGGACGCGAACTTGCCACTCTACATACTCAGTATTGGCCTTGACTGAGTCAGGAACGACACTTGCGTGGGTTTCCCTCGACACTCGCAATGTCGGGTCAATGCCCAAGATGTGGAGGGCACTCTCGCGGAATCAACTAGCAGTGCTCGTCCGGATACCCACCTATTCTATACCGGACCCACATTGGGATAAACTTCCGGTATGTAAATTGGTAGGGGTTCTACGGCAGTCCGCCGGGAAGGGGATCGGGTGTCTCCCCATTGTCTTCACAAGAGGTTCAGAGGAGAAGGTCGCACACGAAAAACCAGCCAATAGGATCGTTCCGAAAGACCAAACGCAAGTCGCTTAAGAACCTCTTGAATGTCCTACGTGGCGTCTACCCAAAGTAGGGTCTTGGGGTGAAGAACATCGGTAGGAAAACCCCCTCAAAAAGGTTGTATTCTACTAACATCTCGACATCCGTGGTTGTCCCTAGTACTGGCAAGAAAGGTAAGAAGGACTGGTCCGAGTTTGAAAAACAAAAAAGACGTTTCGTACCGTGTCCCAGCCCCCAGGGCGAGGCGATTAAATATTATCGCGACAATGCGAATACGAGAGGGGCTCATAGCAGTACAGATCCGTCCTCGACCCGCGGCTTTGGTGAGCGGCATTATCGTTACTGGCAGTTCGAGATCGTGCGCACAGGTAGCAAACAGTCGCGGGGGATGGCAGCCCGTTCTTTCTCAACTGATGACGTCGAAGATATCCTTATGCACATGACATGTAAAACGGGAAGGTTTTGAAACGCAAATGACGACCTAGGCCTTTCATACGCAAACATCGTAACGATTCAACACAATAACTACCGAAGGGGTTCGGCTGCTGCCTCGACAGCGAAGCTAAGGCAGGTGGCCGCGACCATATACGAATCCTCCGGTTCTCTTCCATCACCAAATAATAGTTCAACAGGCCTGCCAGAGCACCCGCTGCCCCGCGCGGTTCCGCAAACCCGCACCCGCGTCCACTCTCTGGACAGAACAACAAGCCTCCAAGACGCGGAACAACGACTGAAGTGTATGCCACAAAATCATGCACACAACTAACATGGAACAAAATCACGCTCTAGCGGCGGCCGTGTGGAGTCTTTCCGCATGTGGCACTCGCCTGATGTACCAGTCGACGCGTTGGTAGGGCCCGGTGTTCCTTCTTGATAGTGCGCGACCCCCCCCCGTCGTCATGAAGGTAGGCCAGAGGTTACCTGCTCTGCGGGATATACTCGGGACCAGCGAGTGTCGCCACCGGGTCGTGGTATGGCGTTTGTGGAGGGTGCGCCGCATCTTCCGGCGGAACACGGTAGATTCCGTTACATTCGTGCGAACCCGCACCCTCAACCTGTTGGGACACGCCACGAAAAAGGGAACAAGGAGGAAACTCATCTTCCCTGCCTCTGATGGGTTCCTGTGTGTCGTAGGCTCAAGCGAGTTGGAAGGGCTACGGTATGCTGATGGACTCGATACCACGATAGAGGGTGCATGGGATGACAACTTTTGCTCTTGCCTGCTTCGGACTGAAGTTTCGCTCACCCGGTAGGCCTTGACGTACCAGCGGTGCCGTTTGGCCAGAAAGATTAACCTGTGCACTTGCTTGAATCCCCAGGTGTTCATTTCGCGGGACGTATGCTTGATGTGTCGTTCTACCAGCCTTGCGTGGAAATTGAACACCAACTTGATTTCGTCCTCCCCCAGAGATAGCATTTGGTGACAGAGATACACGGCTATGAGCCCCAGCAACTAACCGTTAACAGACGATGCATGGAATGGCGGGGACCACGTGAGGGCGTGTGCATGACGAAAGCAAGGTGTAAGGAGGCAGGAAGGGTATAGCATAGTACACGCATATGTTGCTCCTCACCAAGAGGCCAAAAAAAAAACACTCGGCTGTCTTCTTCTACTGGATGTACCTTTTACCGGAGTCTTCTACACTCTACATTCTCGTTTGAACCCCGAAGTTCCTGACTGCCAAGTGCTCTTGCTAGTGGTGGCGCTATCTGTAATATCCGATCCGATTTGACTACAACTGCTGCACTGAGAACAGCGAGCCTGGGGAATTCATTTTGTTGTACACTCTACAGTAGTTTGAAGTAAGAATAGCAGCTTAAACGCCGTGCTTTCGTCGAAAGTGGTCAACGACGAGTGCTTCTCCGGGGGCCGCAGGCAGGGGGGGGGGGGCGTCCTCATAGTTCATGTTCAACATCTCACTTTATCCTCCACTCGTTCTTCGTCACGCGAAGGAAGTGCCTGCTCCACCTGCAGCCTGCGCATGATGCGCACGAGAGGCGTACATGTAGCTCGACACCCACAAAACGGCTCTGCGGAGCCCCCCTGGTGACAGTGGATCTCGAAATGAACAACACAATGAACAATTACAATTCGGCCATAATGGAACAATAATTCGGCATGGAACATGCTGAGGGTGAGGCTGGCAACGGTAATTGCCCAGAAGAAGCCAAGGGGGAGCCAAGGGAAGGGCGACTCCAGAGAGCAAGCAGCCGGTATTTGACCCTCATCGACAGAATTGCGTCTTTGTGCACTCTCCAGAGAACGGACGCCGTTGGGAGCAGCGACGAGGAGCAGGATTCTGCTGCAGCTCCAGCTATCGCGGCACACGAAAGGCGCGACGGGGTAATGGCCCGCAGGAGTCTTCGAAGCTGGATAGCTGGGCGTCTCGGACGGTCGAGAAAGAGCTCCGACGATGTAAGGGTGGCTCCGTCACGGTGTGTGGGCGTTTTAAAAATGTGCGGCGAAACTTCCGAATTCGTCCCTGCTGTTCTTCCGCCAGCCAGCAGCAGCCACGGCTGTTGATTCTGGGTGCGGGAATGGTGCTTCGTGAACAACCCGTGGGTTCTTGATGTTATGTGTCGGTGTGTAACCCTGAGCTCCCCGCTCAGTCGCACCCTTACTGCTAACCCAACTAAACAAAAGGCCTATTTCACGACCAACAAGCGGCACGTTACATACAACAGCAGTCTGACGGCGTAACGCGGAGACACCGCCAACTCCGTATTAGTGCAACATGCAGACATGTACATAGATAACTACTTGCTGTGCACACGGAAGTTCTCCTAACAAGAACACGGCCAGGACATTCACAAAGAAGTGCCAAACCCCCGCTAAAATCAACGTATGCAACATGTATTTCACCCGTGTCAAGGCTGAGACTACTGCTGTAGGCGCCAAACCGGGATTCAGAGGTAGACTTGGATGCGCAATAATCCCCACGTGTGCGTGGCCATTCTTTGGATACAGGTGTTTACAACTACTCAAGTATGCCGGAACGAAAAAACAAACGGGCACGCACGCGCACAGCGCACACCGTAGGGTACCTACCTGAACCCCGCTTTCCGATCTCCCCGGTGTCCCGCATTTCCGCCCCTGAGCGAGGCCTTCTGTACCGTGCCTTGCGCTTTCAACCGTCGCCCTCGTTTCGTGTTCATGTTGGATCCTCAAGGCGAGCGGTGCGTACTTCCTCCACATGCTACGGATGGATTTCCCCGAGATATGGGCCGCCGTGGTGGCGGGGACAGGGGACACCGTAATTTGCGTTCCTCAGGTGAGCAAGTCATAGAGGTAAACTCGGTGTCGATCGTCAACGCGTCACCGTCAATATTCATGACTACGGCGGAACGCGGACCTCGACAGCGGTATGTGCGGGGGGGGGATGGGGGGCTACCGTAGGTTGCATGACGTGAGATATCACACCTCCTGGACCGGTTTCCAAAGCTCGATTACTCCACGACGGAGAGGATGCCGAAATTGTAGTATCCGTTTTCGGAAAGCGACATGTTCCAACGCCGCCATTTTCGGCACCGTCACTGCTTTTCCTTCGGAAGATGTCGAGCTTGGAAAATTGGTCCAGGGGGTGTGATGTCTGATGCAACGTACGGCATACATAACGGGGTCGATCGTACGCAGAACAGTGGTGGCAGGAGACGATTTCGTGTTTGGGCGGTACGTCACTCGCCTGGTCGACGTGAGAACAGAGGCAAAGGGACGCCCCACCGGTCACACTCTTGCTGGGTGCGTGTCTCCCCAGCAGCAAACCACGCGTCGACCGCTCCATTCAAAGCCACTCACTTGCTTCCTATGTGTCTGACCCCCCCCCCGGACTGTTACTTGCCCTTTCCTTCCTCTCGGGCTCTTTTTCTCAGAGCACATCGCTATCGCAGGAAGATTTGACAGCTGCGGAGGCAAGGGCGCATGTCCTGACCCCCTCGGAAGAAGTACCCGGAGACTTTCTCACTCTGGACGGCTGGTCCGTGTCCCTCGTGGGCAATGAGGTGGGTAAATAATGCGCTCTCCTCTCCTCGTTAGGTGCTCCCGAGTGCGCGGGCTCAATGCTGTTGTCCGTGGCTCGGTGTAGATCTTGTAATTTCGGGTTGTTGCTTGCTAGAGCAAGCGTCGTTTACTGGACTCCAATCAAACGCCGGTTGTCAAGGGTTTCTTCCGTCTGGCCTCCCGCCTCCTCAACACTCTGCAAACACGTACGTTCCACCACTCACCGCGCCCTTAGCTTGGAATGTTAAGCATCTGTCGATTTTTGCCCAGCAGGTGGTGACTGGGGCTGGGTTTCCAGAATGGAGGCGTGTGCGACTGCTGCTGTCGGAGGACCTCGGCCAGCACCTCGTTGCCGCCGGTGAGAAACCGCTCTGTCCGCCCACGGCAGCTCCCCGAGAAGCAGCTGAAGCCACGGCGGAGGCGGCAGCCGAGGTGGTTGCGGTGGGTAGTAGGACGCGCGATTCCACGACGGGGGCTCTGGGTAAGGAGGACGCCGGGGGCGCAGCGGTTGGTGATGGCGGCGGCGAGACGGAAGAAGCAGATGCTAGAAGGAAGGCGAACTCCAACGCCAAGGTGGACAAAAATGGCGCCATTTCCGCCTGCCTTTCTTGTCTTCTTGCTGGCTGGTCTGTCGTCTGATTGGCTGTTTTCCTCGCTTGTGCGTCTTTTGTGCTTTTGGTTAATTGATGGGAGGGGGGAGGGCGGTGTTTCTCACCGCTCCGTGCGTCGGTCTGGCTTGTGTTGATTACCACGTGGAACGAAAGCCGGCTTGGGTCCTCCTACTCTTATCTAGGGGGGGCGGGGCGGTGAGAAGCAAACATGGGCAATATGAGGGGAGCGAGAGGAAGAAGGGCCCTGGGATACGGACGGTGAAGCACCGAAAAACAATTCCACAAACTCTCTCCAGGCTTGTCTGTCACTGTCGACCTTAGTCTCACGATCGGCCGCGTGTTATCGAACACGATGGCTTGGCGCTAAATAATCGCGAAACCGCCGCGCATGGGTTACTCCAATGCGCCCCTTTCGCATGCCACAGGTGGTGAAGATGGTCGAAACGAACGCCGCTGGTGAGAAGGAAGAGCGGGGCGACGCAAGCGGCAAAGCCAAGACTTCCACCACCGTGAGAGGGAAGGAGTCGAGAAAAAGAGAGCGAAAGGTCAGAGTGATGCATGTCTCGAGGCCTCTGATGGGAGGGCTGTCTTGGGCGCCCGAGAACGCCGGGGAGCTGGACATGATCACCGTCGACAAGTACACGGCCGTCCTCAAGTCTTACCCTGGTGAGAAACGCAGCACCGCTGGAACGGCACTGGTCGTTGCTGGTGGACTAAGGATGAGTAGATTTTCCTGTGTTTTTTATCGCTCGCGGAACTGAACGACGCCCGGGCGTGGCCTCTTTCGCGGCTGTTGCTCCTCTTTCGAGCTCTTTGTATCCTCCTCTCCCTCTCTCTCTCTGCTTCTCGATGTGTCTACCTCCCCTTTCTGGCCCAACATTACGCGATGCGTGCTTCTGGCCTCGTCAGCTCCCCCCCCCCCCTGCGAACACGCGGTTTGATTTACAAGCCGAATAGACACTGCTTTACCAAGACGATTCACTCCAGATGTGTGCGCTCTTCGACCTATCGACATCGACATGCGACGTTTTGAACAAGCACGCCGTGTGTCCTATCTCGGAGAGCCTAACCAAATGCTTGGGGCCCGACTGCTCGCAGAGGTGGACGGCATGTTCGCGGAGATGGACAGCTTCGCCAAGGCCGTGCTCGGCTACTGCTCCAAGAACCTAGCGGCTCGCGGGGGCTCAAGTACCGCCGGCGGCGGTAGTGCTCGTGCCAGTGACGAGGCCGCTATCATCAACGGTCTCGGTGCCGAGCAAGGCCACCCGGGGGGCGGGGGGGGCTCCGGCGAATCCAAGAGTGACGAAGGGCGGGTGCGGCGGTCGCGGTCGCGAAGACCCCAGGAGGAGGAGCTTTGCGCCGTCATCGCCGAGCAGTGGAGGTTGACCGCGGCCACGCTGACCCGTTCGCGGTGTGTCAAGGGCAACGGCGACGCGGAGGCGATGGAGCGCCGCGAGGTAGGTAGTGTAGGTAGACGGGGTTTATATTGTTGGTGCCGGTGTTCCGGGGTAGATTTTGCGGGGCCGCTCTCTTGCCCGGTGCTCAGGCGACACGCCTCCCTCCCTCCTCTCCCTCTCTCGTTTCCTCTTTCTCTCTTAAAGAGGTCGTACGGGCGGCGCGTTAGTTGTTGTGGCCGTTGGGTTCGGGTGTAGGGCGTTGCATGTCAGTGGCAGGGTGATGCGGAGACCGACCCTCTCAAAGGAACGAAGGCACGCTGGACCCCGCAATCAAGATGACTCCTTCTCCTCTCGCCTGTCTCGCTCTCAGTGCCCAAACCCCAAATCGTCCGTGGAAGCATTTGAAAGGCGGGGTCTCTCGCCCGACAGAACGGGGCCAACAGGCGATATTCGGACCGCCTACGCAGGATTTAAAGAGTATTTAGAAAAATAATAGAGAGGGGGCACGCAGACCCTATCCCTAACCTTAACCTTAACCCCAAAGCTCGGATTTAATACTTTATCCCAAATGTTTGCTTAATCAATTTTGCTGCGTAGACTACTGCGATATCCTCCCCCCCCCAAGAAGTCGCTTTGTTGAATCCACGTGTTCCTCGTGCCCGAGGTGCGGCGAAATTTCCTCTTGCGGAGGCGTGTTGATTCCCCCCCCGCTTTTTTGTTCTTGTCTTTTGTTGAAGGTGACGATGATGCAAGTGACCGAGAGCTACCTCATGTCTCGCCTGGCGCCTGGGCTGGGCGCCTGGCTGGCGGGGCTGCACGCGGGAGCGGACGCGGAGCTCCACCGCGCCCTCACGCTCCTCCGGTACCACACGCAGGTGCAACATGCATGCGCTACTGCTGCTGCTGTTTGCCGGGGAGGGGGGCGATGGTTGTTGCTGTCTGCGGTGACGGAAGGGGATGCTGTTGGTGATGCCACTCGGTCGTTGTAGTTGCCGATGTTGATCGTGGTGGTGGCAGTTACGTTATTGTAGGTTGCCGGCGCGCGCTGACTCTCGAGGTTTGAGCTGGAGCTTTGTGTGCTTTTGGAACGCCCGTACCCTTCACTGCGGCAAGGATAAAGCCCGCAGGTCGGGACCACGGGCAGGCGGCAGCCGTCGTTTTGCAGCCAGTCACGCTGCTTTATCTCACCGCTGCGTGCTGTCCTTTGCTGAACCTGCGGCTGTGAATCGATGTGTTGAATTGTATCGCCTTTTTATTTTCTACCCAGGAAGACATTGGCGTAAAGCGACCGTTCCAGTGCGACCTATCCTCGGCCGTAGAATGCCTCAGGGGGCTGGGCGTTTGCGCTACTCCGATGGATAAAATGCTTCAGGTCAAGGTAGGCACGAGTGGAAACTAGGGGCTGGAAGGTGGGGGGGGGGTGTACTCATAGTCGTGCATGCCGTAGTCGATAGACCATTGACCTCGCATCCCTACAAAGCCGGGACGGAGCACGCCGGGTTCTCACCGGACCAGGCTCTCACATCACCAAGCGCGAAGCGCCGTGAGGTATTTGGCGAGTCGCATGAAGGGTGCGCTGCATCCTGCTAAGGGTGTTCGGCATCTTGTGCTTACTTCCTTGCGCGGATGACATCTACGTATGACTTAATTTATTTTCTGGTGCTTTCACTTCCAGAGAAAGTTGTAAGCACTGTGTAACTGCCTCGAGGATGCTTGACCATTTTAACACAACGTGGTGCGATCGTCCCCCTTGCGCGGAGTGAGGGTTCTCGACCCCGCACAACATGATCTACTCGACCACCATTCATGGTTACCGCAAAAAAAAAAAAACAGAGGTAAAAAAAAACCGGTAACCTGGTTGCCGAGTTCACGAAGTGAATTGGCTTGTTTTACAACGTCGTTGCCAAGCGACGAAAACCCAAACCCCGATGGCAAACAAGGCCGAGGAGGGGGGGGGGGGGGGGGGGGGGGGAACCCAAAACCGGGAAGCCCGAAACCTTTTAACCTTTACCCCCCACCCCCAAAAAACCGGGGAGGAAAACCCCGGGGTTTCCCCCGAACAAGGTTTCCCAAAACCAAAGGGGAAAAGCCCGGGGGGATTTTGGGGAGCCCAAAAAAGGGGGGCCCCCCCCCGCTAAAGGGGGTCCGGAACTTGGGTTAATTCCCTTGGGACGGGAGAAAACCCCCCAAGAATTAATTTTTTTTTTGGGGGTTTTCCCTCCCCCAAAAATTTTAAACCCCGGGTAAATTCCCCCAGGAAAATTTACCCTTTTAAAACAAACGGGGGGGAACCCCCCCCCGTGCGCGGAGGGGGGGGTCCCCACCCCCCCCAAAAAGAACTACCCCACCCCCCTTTTTGGTACCCCCCAAAAAAAAAACCGAGGAAAAAAAAAAAACGGAACCCGGGTGCCCAAATCCCAAAAAGAAATTGGTTTTTTTAAAAAGGCCTTTCCCAACGAAAAAAAACCCATCCCCAAGGGAAAAACCCAGGGGGGGGGTTTGTTTAAAAACCCCTTGCCCAAG